AGGTCTTCAGGGGCCGTGTATTACAGAGTGTTATCAGAGCTGCAACTTTGCTTCCCTTTGGAAGACCTACAATGGTTAAACGATTACAAACTTGTTCATTAGGCAGTTAAAGTAGATTCTGTATACTTACTCTGTACTTTAGACTTTTGATAATTTTAGCAATAATAAATTATAAAAGACTGTTGGTCTAATGTAAGGCATAGCTCTAGTTTTCAATTTGGCTAAGATTTTAAGGCAAAGTTTTTAAAATATCTATTTTAATATGTGCTTTTTCAACATTTGATGTATTGACGAATACACCCTCTTGGAAAAACACAAAAGTTACCAGTGTATGCAATATTACCTTATTAGAAGAGCAATGTGTCATTAAGTGCAGTGAGGTTATGTGCAAACCAGGCTAAGTCAGAGTATTCACTTGGGCATCAGAAAAAAAAATTATTTCTCCACCTATATTTTTGGCCTTTTCTCTTTCTGCTAAAGTTTCCTAATAGATGGAGCTGACTTGAAGATCTGCTATTACAGATAAGTGCTTTAGGCACCCCTTTCTTTTGTTTTTTTTTTTTTTCTTCTTACTGTTTTTAGGATCAATGTAAATGAGATATGACAGTCCATTAAACACTACTGCCAATAATGTCCTGGAATAATTTGAAATACAGTGCAGGATTTATTAAGGAAATCCATTACCAAAACAAGTATCACTGAAATAGGAATGTTAATGATTCTGGGACTCTGTAAGAGGTTGGTGAACATTTTAATAGTTGGAGCATTTTCTTATACTGCTCATTTCTCCTTGAAGTTAGTAGGAGATTTGAGGCATATTATTGTGAGTTCCCTTAAAGTCAGGTCAGGAGAAACTGGAACCCTTGTACACAGCTAGTGGTAATGTAAGAGGTGGCTCAGCCCCTTTGGAAAGCAGTGTGCCAGTTCTTCAGAAGATTGGTCCATATAGTTACCCTACAGCCCAACAATTGCCAAAATTCCTCTCCTAGGTCTAAAGCTGAGAGAACTGAAAACATATGTTCACACAAAAAGTTGTAAATGAATGTGAGGGGCAGTATTATTCATAATAATCCAAAAAACGGAGACAATCCAAATGCTCATGAACTGATGTGAGACATTCATGCAATAGAATTTTACTCAGTCTTGAAAAGACATGAAATTTTGATGCATGCCATAGCACAAATAAACCTTGAAAACATGTCAAATGAAAGAAGCCAGTCTTTAAAGACCCCAAGTGGTATAAGTTCGTTTAAATGAAATGCTCAGGATAGATAAATCTATAGAGACAGAAAATAGAGTAGTAGTTTGCAGGAGCTAGAGATATTGGGAGGGAATGAGGAGTGACTGCTAATAGGTACAAGATTTCTTTCATAGACCATGGAAATTTTCTAAAATCAATTGTGGTGATGGTTGTACAGCTCTGTGAATATGCTGATATTGAATTGTACACTTTACACGAGTGAATTATCTGGTTTGTGAATTCTATCTCAATAAAGCTGTTACATTAAAAAAAAAAAAAAAGGTATGCTAGAGTCTGTCTCTCAGAGAGCCACCTATACCAGCAGGCCGAGCTATACTACATGAAAATTACCAGCTAAAGAACAGTGTTTATTACCGGAAGGGGAGCATTTTATAGTATCAACTCACATGTTAAACCAGATATCTAAAGAAGTGCTGTTCAAAGGGTAGCTGCTAAGAGAATACAAATTCAATAGAAATGAGTTTCTGTCCCAACTATTGCCTGTCCTCTCACACCTTGTCTGCAGGCAGACCATAACAGATCCTTTTAGATTCTGGAACTGTCCAATGTCTAGACTGCCTATTTCCCTCAAGGTAAAGGCAACTTTCAGTTCATTTTTGAAGGAAACAAACTGAGTCATAACTTTCTTGAGAGCAGACAGTAACTCTAAAAGTTCAAGTTTTCTTGTCTTGTGAAAACCCTGTAATTACCTCCGATTTGCATAAAACATGCCGACTAGCCATTTACTCTGAATAGTAAAGAGCATCTGGCTTCAGGAGGCCCCTCCTCTCCTCTCCTGCATTTTTTGGCTGGTTTCAGGTAACGGGTTGGACACCAGGATGTTCTCATTCTCCTCCACCTTCCAGTGGAATCCGTGCACTGTGTGTCTTGGCTGAGGCTGAGCAGCCCTTTGACTCTCTCATAGGGAAGGGTTCTGCATCACTGTGTTAATCAATGAGGAAGAATATTCTTTTTGACAGTGTTTACTACTCCTGTACCACTTGCTTACATCATATGACTCTCTTGCTTGCAGGTTGCTGCTCAGTGGTTTGCACTGTAGGTTCGGGAGGGAGGTGGATGTGAGCGAGAGACTGAATTCCTGTTTTGTTCTTAGCAGGCGGTACATGCCATACTACTACCCTTCCTGCTCTTGTACGCACACCTACCCTGATGATGCAGCCTTCACTGGATATCAAACCATTTATGTCTTTTCCCGTGGACAGTAGTTCTGCTGTTGGGCTCTTTCCAAATTTTAACACAGTGAGTAAATGCATTTTTAAATTTGTACCTCCTTAATCTCTTTTTTTCACTACATTTGCAAATGAACAATAAATGTAGTCTGTTTCCAAAATGTACTTTTAGACCATATATTGGTTATACTGCTCAGCTGTGCTAGGGAATATGGTGCTTCCCCGATGGGAGTTGGTCCAGACAATAGCCAGAATGTTTATTTTACAACATCCTCACAGATGACTTCTCACCTGTTGCATTGTACAATTTTGATAGACTTTTCAGTGGCTTTAGAACTTATATTATTTCTGGGATGCTGTTCATACATGCTCAGGAACACAATTTACAGTTACCAAGCCACATTGATTTTTTTCCCTACTACTAAAAAGAAAAAAAATGACTGTGGGCTTTATCTCCCTGGGTGCCTTTTTATTTAGGAGATGTTTTAGATAAAGTGTGACTTTTACACAAACAGAAGTTTTATTTGGGGGCTCTTTGTGGTTTATGAGGAAAATAAAAATACTCACTTTAAATCTACATATTAATTATCTGCATGATACTTAACATTTCCTTTTAAACTTTTATGATAAAAATTCATGAATTACCCATCATTTATCAATGTTCTTCATTCATATAGGTTGACTTTCTTTTATTTGAATGAAAGACAATTTGTAAGTGTGTCAAGACACACACCTTTCAACAATAGAATTCCACATAAAATCAGTCTTTACGCAAAGTCTAAATTTATAGTAAGAGAAAGTTTAAACAGTTCAGGGTATTGCACAAATTAAGTCTATTCCATTGATAAATGCTGTCAGTTGGGGCATGATGGTCTATGTGAATGAGACAGCATTGTAAATGCTGCCATAATCACAAGAAAGAATTGCATTATCAGCATCACCAGACAGCACATCTGAAGTACTGCCAAACGTTTCCCTTTGCAAACTTATCTTCTGCATGAAGTGAAAACAGCAAGAGGATTTTTCCTCAAGGGTTGTAAATAAAATCTGCTGACAGTCCTTCTGTTGGGTTTAGTGTTGTAAAGTAATTAGGAGTTGGGGATCAGCCAACTTTTTAAAGAGCACTGATTTTGACTTAGTGAGTAAACAGTTGAATGTTTTTGTCTTCTTTGGGTTTTTTGGCAACGAGTCAAACAGGTTTTCTTTGTTTATTTGTTTGTTTGTTTTTAAAGCATATTTGTGACAGAGGTTTGTAGTCCAGTAAAGCAGCTCAGGAAGTCATGACTGTTTTGACCACACTAATCCATCAAGTGACCCTTGTGACAAGTAGTTCTCCCAAGCACTACATGGGACCATTTCAGAGAGCTTGAACTCCAGCATGCCCATGTGTCCTCTATCAAAACACCTGTGATACATCCAAATATAACTGAATTCAGCAATACTTCTTAGAGTACTACAAGGGATTTGTATTTTGATTGCCGTGTGTTTGAAAGACAGCATTTGTAGACACCTCACAACTCCAGGTGCTGTCCGGTAGTGTGTAGAGAGTGTGAGGAGGCAGAAATGGTACATCCTATGCTTTACTTCTCTGTGTTTGTTCTTTTTATGCACGTGTTACAGGAATACTTCTTTCAGAGATCCAAATAAAACCTTAACATTCAAGGCAAAATGAAAAGTTCGCCATTCTCTGCCCTTCTCCCTTCAGGAGAAGAAAGTGCTGTCGGCACCTGGAATCCATTCTTCCAGCTCCTTCTACAAGTATATTATGCACATACCTGCAATAATAGTGCTGTGTCCATACAACTCTATCCTGTCAGGTGCTGTTTTCAATGATCAAGTTGTCTTATATATGCCTCTCTGTTTTTAAGGACTGTAAAAAAAAAATGGAGAGAATACTTTCTTTAAGATTGAAAATGAAGTTTCGTACTGGTTTGTTAATGTTGCAGAGGGGTTGCAGGTGCAGTGACATCCCTTGTTTGTTTGTTTATTGTGCATAACAATTAAACTTACGATGAATTGTAAAGAATGAAACCCAAAGAATGATTCTAAAATAGAAGTTCACTTTTTTTTCTTCTTAGAAGGACTTAAATTTTTAATTTTCAAATAATCATACTACTTGGTTATTAGGTAAAAAAACTACAAAATACTACATGAAATAATTCTACTCTCTAGGTCATTTAATAGGTAGAGAGCCCTTCTTATAGAGTATTAAAAATTAGGCCAATTCAAGTGGGGCTCTATATCATAAAAAAAGAAATTTAGTGGCATGTCTGTTATTCCAGTACATGGGAGGCTGAGGCAAGAGGATCTTGAATTTGAGGCCAGACCCTGTCTTAAAAAAAAAAAAAAAGAAGAAATAAAAATAAATTTCTTTATTATGTTACTGTGATTTTTCACTTTGAAATGCAATTTAAATTAACTCCTTTTTTCCTATAGACTTTTCCATTTTTATACTCAACTCATCCAGTAGATTTCCCAGGAAAATTTTAGGAAAGTTGTCCTGATTTTCCTAGGAAAATATTGTTATCTCACTACTAATAATTATAATTGATTTTCGTATATTTGTGATGAATTCTAGCCATCAGAGGATACAGGATTCAGACTTCAAAACATTTTAGGAGGCCATGGTTATTACTCCTATTGTCTAGAGGAAGTAAGAGAATTGGTAGAGAAGAGCTGAGCCTTGAATTGTAATTTGCTAACTTTGAAACTCATGTTCTGATTCTTCACAACCTTGGTCTTTTGGCCCATTTCACCTCCTACCTCATTCACTGTGAACAAAGCTCAATCAGAAATCTTTTCTTCTCTTTTCTGCAAGCATGATAGACAATTTTCTGCAGAATCATTAAGTAGAAAAAGGAAAGGATTTCTTTGAATATGAAAAATAGACCTCTACAAACAATATCTCTGAAGCACAAAACATTTGAAAAATAGCTATAATTTCTTGTTGGAAAAATTTAAAAGTATATTGTGCTAATAGTTTACTTGTTCTTTGAAAATCAAAGTGAATTCTAGTATATCACTTTATATTTAACCAAGACTGATGTTATTAAATACAAGAAATGAGGTCAAATTTAATCTAATTTTTATCTGAAAAATGACAACACTGTTCTGAGACCATAGCTAAAGGTTTAAAACTCTTAACCTTTGCTACTTTTTAAAAAATTATTTTAAAAATGTATAGAGTACTGTTTTCCTCCTTTTTTTTATAGCATTACATGAGAAACAAAACAACTGAAATAGAATTCTGTTCTTTTCCAAAATAAAATAGGTGTGTTATTCTGTGCTAAGTTTACACAAGGAAGAAATACGCTTCACAGCATTCTTTTAGTGGTTGTCTTGTTCTATGCTCCACAACTGACAAAGTGTCTCAGCGCTTTTATATGAAGAATAAACAATTAATTTGAGACACTGCCCAAACAGAGTCATGAAGAGTCATGACAAGGAAGCTGATGTTCTCATGATTGGTGGTTATGATGGACGCTGGGTCAAGATGCTGGTGGGGGCTGAGGATGTTAGCTCAGGGCTTCATCAGTTAAGCTTGACAGAGAGGCTGTTTTGAATCACTGATAGATGGATGACTGTGCAAAGCCAAACAGAATTTTTTTTTTTTAAGATTTGACTTTCATGTTTAGGATCTAATAGGATTTTCTACCTGGCTCCCCACTACTGTTCACTTACTTCCACTACTGCCACCTTACCTTCAGGTATTGATCATTCAGGGCTCAACTTAGGTCTTCTGTCTGAATTATAGCTCATTCTCTGTCTTTCCAAATTTACCACCAGAGTCCCCCAAATTACAGAAGTTGTTACACCACAGTCTCATTATCTGATTTTCTATCTTCTTCACTACAATGGCAAGTCTTTGAGGACAAGGGCTGTTTTCTTGTTCATAGTAGCATGTTTGGGTTCTGCCACAGGCGCACAATAAAAGAGTTTTGAAGGAAGGAAGGAAGGGAGAAAAGTACAGGGGAAAGGGTTGTAATTCTTTGATTTCCAGTGTTCATACTCCCCCCCATCCAGCAAAGGGAGCACTTCATGTTATAACATCGCTGAGCCCTTTGTACGTACTAGGTGATAAGCCCAGGTGTTTACTTTCACTTTTATTTTTCTGAGAGTGGTTATTTTTTAAATCTGAGGTCAATAATTAATTACAAAGTTTTATCCAGCTGTGGTACTCAGCTTTCCCTGCATGGACGATGTGGATAGTTGGACAAGTAACTACTACAGCCTTTGTGCTAGACTCTGGTCTTAAGAGCATTTACTTAAGGCTTGGAGGCGTGTAGAGTATCTACCTACCAAGTACAAGGCCCTGAGTTCAAGTCTCATAAAAATTTTTTTGCAGTACTGGATTTGAACTCAGGGCCTACACCTTGAGCCACTCCACCAGCCCGTTTTTGTGGTAGTTTTTTTCAACACAGGCTGGCTTTGAATTATGATCCTCCTGATGTCTGCCTCCTGAGTAGCTAGGGTTACAAGTGTGAGCCACTGGTGCCCAGCATAAAAAATTGTTTTTAATTTAAAAGAAAAAACATTTAGTTCAAAAACAGAGTTGTTACTTGCTAGATTTTATTGAAAATGTAATATATACACTAAAGAGTACTGGATTTGGAGAAGAGGATAAGCAAAATAAATAAAAGAAAATACCTATGTGCTCAAGAAACTTGTAAGAAATTGTATAAATAAACTTTAAAAAGACAAGATCAAGAAACATCAGCAAAGTGATAGTTACTGAAAGAATGTTCAAGAAATACCAGAATGAAATTATTTTTTGTTACCAAGTAGAGCTGTTTTCCTTATTTTGTTACTCACTTTACTTTAAATTTGACAAATGCTTCATGGTCATCTCTTATTTATTGTACATTATATTTTGGGAGCTGCCAAAATATGCACAATTTGTTTCTCCCATTAGAATCAGAATCTCTTATTTCCTTTACTGTGAACTCAATTTTCCTCTTTATTCACAAACAACCATTCTTGGTGTTTAGTTCCCTTTAAAAACAGACTTCTTCAGAATAGAAAAATATATCACATAGTAACCAAGATAGGTAGTGATCAAAATATATTAAT